TCGGATGCAAAATAACAAGAATCTTGTACTTTTTTTCAGGGTTTTTCTGCAAATTGTGGACCAAAGTTTGTTTTTTGTCTTAGTGTTGCAAGTTATGATTTCCTTGCTTAGTGTGGGAGCTCTTGACTTGCCTAGCACTGAGTGTTTGGAAAAGTCTTAACTTTTCTTAGTTCCTCCCTGAAATCTTGAGGATATGCATTATGCTGGAGAAGTGTGTGAAGTCTGAGTGAGGGTTCAGCTCGGGTTGCTGGCATGAGATCAGTAATACTTGTCTGCCTCGGTCTTCAGTCGGAGGCTGAAAGGGGTGTGAGACCACCTGAAATGGAAGTTGCCCCCAGCTGAGCTGAGAAAAAGTTCAGCTGACATCAGCTGACGAGGAGATGCTGGTTTCAGTTACCTCTAAATCTGAGTAAGCCTGTTAAGGAAATCTTGATCTGCCTCTGAAAAATCTGTTTCCTTGCCAGCATCTTACATGCAGCAGTGCAAATTCAGATGTCTTGGTGGTAGTTGTCAGCTGGAGTTAGTTCGCTCATCTGCCTGCCTTCCCCAGTGGAAACCAGTAAATTGAGTCCTCCTGCAGCTGGGGAGCGCGGGCAGTGTGGCTGCTTCTCCTGAGCACACCCCAGGCAGCACTCCCTTAAGGATCCATGCGCAACCCGAGTGGAACAGCTGTGGTGGTTTAACTTTTAAAGAATTCAATCAACCTCACCCAAGACACTGGGAAGAGGCTTATTGGAATGAAACCTGTCTGGTGGCCTTTAATGTTGATTTGGTCAACCCACAGGCTTTATATATTTTGCAAAATGCAAGTAAGTGAATTGAGGTAACCCCAGAACCCAGACAATTGTGGGTTTTTTTCCTTTGGATCCCTGTGTTTGCATGTAAAGAATGTGAGTAACAAAAGGGTGTACATATTTATAATTTTTTTATACCTGTTGTAAGACATGAGGGGGCAGCAAAACCCAGTTTTTTATGGTGAACAGATGTATTGTATATTTTGATAACAGCTATTACAGGTTCAGTATTGTGGAAGGTGGGGTGGGGAGGGTAAGCATACACAACATCAGAATTCCATTGCCTCTTTCAAAGAATGTTTGTAATGCAAAAAGAAACAAAATTAAAACTATTTTATAACAACCTTTGTACCTTTCTGTAGCTCCATTATTTACTGTTCAGATTGTAGAAAGCGGTTATTGGCCAGTCTGTACTTGTGCTTTCAATAAATTTCTTCTGTATTCTTTGCTTCTGATTTTCCTCTCTCTTTATTGTGCCTATTTTGCTTCTGATTTTTCCTTCTAATGTAATTTCAGCTGCCTCATACATAACTTTTGACTTTTTCGCATACCTCTGGGCTGGGGGAGTGTTTATTCATGCTGGCCCCTCTGTGCAGGGGGCAGGATGGTGAACCAGGCCTGGGGCTGTGTGGGGTGACCGAAGCCCCCCCGGTGCTCACACTCCAGCCCTTCAGAGCTTGACCAGTGAAGTTCAGAGGTATGAGGTTGTAGGGCCTTAACCGATGCTCTGCCTTTGTCACACTCCAACACTTTTGTTTTTTTTTACTTCATGTTCCTAAACTTTCCATATATTCTAGCTAATATCCATGAAATAACCAACTCTCCAGTCAAATCCGTAATACTCTCTGTAGTTTTGTGCTCTAGATGTGTCGAAGCTTTCTGGCTGGCTGGATGTCTCAGCGCTGGGTTTCCCATCCAGTGCCCCGGTGTGCCCTGGCCAGGTTGCTGTCCTAATGGCTAGGAGGGGGCTGGAGGCTGATTTCGGTTCCTGGGGTTACAGGAGCTGTGCTGGTGGGCACGCCTGGCTGCTCAGCCCCCTGGGGAGCGAGGCCTTCTGTCCTGCAGGTTTTGTCCTCTCTGAGTCCAACGCAATTGAAGAAAAAATAATTTCTGGAAGTAGGTGCTGTGGTGTAGAGCTGGACGCCTCAACACCTCGGCATCCTGAAGTTTGGGATCGCAATGCTCAAAAAATAAAACCTCAGTGGCCCCCCTGAGGCTCGTGGCAGTGTGCTCGGTGCTGTCCCTGTCCCTCTCCTTGCACCCCTCCAGCTCTAAGCGCTGCTGGGGGTGCGCCGAGCTCCAGCAGCCGAGGGTGGCTACGGGCAGCCCGTGTTTGTGGGGGTGGGACGAGTAAATGCTGCGCTGCTGGGTTCGTGGCTCTGCTCCTGTCCTTTGGCTGCGTTCCCTTTGTGTTGAACCGCATTAGCATTAAACTGGCTTATTTTATAGTATTTTATAGGCTTCTCGGTTCCGGCTCCAGCCTCCAAGCTGGGTTCTGCAGGAGCCTCAGGCTGCTGAAAGAGATCACTGTTGTTCCTGGAAAGTGTAATAGGATTTGTAACAGCTGCCTCTGCCCTCGCCCGCTGATGCGCGTGTGAAACGCTGCTGAGCTCTGCGTGCCCTGGGCACCGGCAAGGCAGGGGAGGCCCTGGGGTGCTGGGGGGGGGATTTACAGCCTCCTGGCCCCTGCTGCGGGGGCTGCTCTGTTCTCCTGTCCAGCATCGCAGCAGCTCCCGGCACTGCCTGGTGTCCAGGTGCAGGAGGTACAATGCCTGCGCTGGCTCCCCCGTGTGCATCTGACAGAAAGCTGACTCTCAACCTGTGCTTGTCATTAGACCGTTCTCACTGACAGCCTAGGGCAACTTTTAGAAAAGATGTTCTTTATTTAGAAAATGCTGAATTAGGGGAACCAATATTTTCAGCGCGAGAACAACAGCCTCATCTGCTCCCTGCCTCCAGCAGATCCAACCACGCTGCTGTGCTCTGTAAGATGGGGGGAGAGGCTCGTGCGGAATAAACACCAACATGAAAGGCCAGGCCAAGCATCCTGAGCATCTCTGGCTATGGAAAGTGAATTCGGATAGCTTGGCTTCGCCACCAGCTCTGTAAATGCCGCTGCTAATCCTCCGAGCATGCCTCTGATGGAGTCTGAAGTGCCGCTGCCAGCCCTGGAGTAGCGCTGCTCACGCTGCTGGAGCTGAACCAATATTTGCTGAAGCCACTTCCCCGCCTTGCTACGTGCCAGGGGGGGACTCAGAGTCCTGCAGAGGCTCCTGGAGGGCAGAAAGGCTGCGCCCAGAGCCCTCGGGGAGCCCAGGGCCGGGGTCGGGGCTCCCTGTGCCTGGGGAGGGGGTGGCCCTGGGGTGGCCGTGTCCGGGTGAAGCAGGGCTGAGGTCAGCGAATCCTCCCTGACCTCACTGCAGGGACGGGGCCGAGGCTCACCACGGCTCAAACCAACCAGAGCCGTGCCACCGCTTCGCAGGCACCGAGGGAATTTGCTTTATTTGCTGCTCCAGGAGCAATTAGTGAGCGGGGCCTGGCTAACGAGGCAGGGTCTCCCCTCGCCCCCTCCCGCAGGCCGGGCACCCGCTGGCAGCGGGGCTGGGGCCGGGGGGTGGCCGTGGAGGGGTCCCGGTGCCCCCCCAGGACCAGGCCCAACAGCGGCCTCCAGCCGGGGGTCCCCACGGGGGGGCTGCAGCACGGAGCTGGCGGTTGCCATGGAAACGGTGGGGTCGGGGAAGGGGCCTGCGGTGCCGTTCGTCACGGCGCTGAGCGAGGGGGCGGCCCAGGGCCCCCACCAACAGCTCGGTGCCGCCGCTGCCTCCGTCCCCATCTCCCAGGGGACTGCAGGCTGAGCCCCCGCTCCTGTCCACACCACCAGCCCCCCTACCAAAGCCTGGGACCCCCCCAGCTCCCCTGGGCAGGCACAGCCCCGGGCCCCCCCCTCCCGCAGCACCCACACCTCGAGCTGCTGCCAGCAATCCCTGCGCTAATCCCCCGCTGGCTTTTCCAGCGGCGCAGCGGGGTGATGTGGGATAATCCAAATGTTTGCAAGGCCGAGGCTCTGGGATATCCCCCGCTAATCCAATTGGCAGCTCAGGGCCATCTTCACAGCACCCCGGCTCTGGAGCACCGGGGGCTGTTGGCGCTGTCCCCGCTGCACCGCCGGGGGCACCCAGGGGCTTGGCCACGCTCGGTGTGATGGGGGCTGCGGGGTGAAGCGGGGACGGCTTCGCTTCGGGCTTTGCCGCCTCGTCCTGCCCCAGCACAGCCTCACGGCGCGGCTGTCACCGTCCCTGCGTGCAGAGCTCCTGGGGAAGGCAGCGCGCGGGGGCGGCAGCCCAATCCAATCCCCCCCCCCCCCAGGTCTGATTTACGAGCTGTGACAAATGGCAGCAGATGCTGCTCCGCACCGCGGCCGGGGTCGTGCCGGGTTGGTTCGCTGCCACCATACGGAGATGGGCTGGGGGGGGGGCAGCCTGCGGGGCTGCCTTCACTGTGGGTGCCTTGAGCCCCCTGACACCCCCGGCAGCCCCCGTGCAGACGGGCTCTGCGGTGCCCTCGCAGGAGGCCGGGGATGACACGGGGACAATGTGGGGACAATGCGAGGACAATGCGGGGACGCCGTCCTCGTGGAGGCCAGCGCGGCGAGGAGGGGGCCACGCGGGAGCCGAGCTGGGTGCCCGCATCCCCGGCGTTGCCACAGCAACACAGCCAGAATCTGCAGCGCCCGCACGTCCCTCCCGGGACGGCTCCGGAGCCGAGCTCGATGCTGAGCGGGGTCCCCACGTCCTGCGCGTGGCGGCGATGCCGGGGTCACGAAGCCCCTCGCACCGGGGGCCCCTCTGGGGGTCGAGCGGGGTGGTGGCGCGTCGAGCTGTATTAACGTCATTGCTCGTCATCGCCTGGTTTTCATGGGCCGCAGCCTGGAGCTGGTTGCTCCTGGTCCGTGGGGGGGTGGAGAGGAGCCCGAGCCCCCCTGGAGGTGTGGGGGCGCGGTGGGGGCTGCCTCTCGCAGGGGACAAAGGACGGGGCAGGGGCTTTTTGCTTTTTGCACGGCTCAGCTGGGGCCCCCCCACTCCACCCAGAGCCCAAATCCTCCACACCCCACCCTTGGCAGCACCGCTGAGCCCTGGCCGTGCCCCGCAGACACCCCCTCCCCAGCCCTTCTGGAGCTGTGCCCCCCAAGGACGCGGCCCAGCAGGGGCACATTCACATTTTTATTCCTTTTCAGACCACAGCAGGTTCAGCCATTGCCTGGCCGATGCATTCACAGCTTGGAGACCCCCCCCAAGGGCTGCCTCCCCAGCAGCTCCCGGCCCCCCCCAGGACCCCATGCACAGGGAATTCCCCCGGGGGGCTCCTGCCAGCCCAGGTGGGTGCCCTGATGCTGGCAGGACCCGGGCTGGCCGGGCAGGCTGCACCCCGTGCCCCCCCCCGGTTGTCAGTCCCCCCACCCCCAGCACTTCCCTACCCAATGTACACACTCTACTTTAGCCAGCACAGTATTTACACGCTCCTAACGCCCAGAGCTTGGCCCCTGGACAAACACCCCCCTCCCGGCACCGTCCCCCATCTCCCTGCCCCCAGAATGATCCAGCCAACGCGCAGGCCCCCGCATGAGCCAGGAGCCCCATGGCACCTCCCCCCCCCCAAAGCCCTTTAATGCTGTTTGCTCCCCTCCCACCCCACAGACTTACAATGCCAGAGTCAGAATAAATTACCCCCCCCACCACCCCAAAATGTCAGCACCTGTGTTAGAGAGAGAAGTAAAGTCCAAAGTGCTTGGAGACGCCCAGCCCCTGCGGGCGGGCGGGGGCGCGGAGCCCCCTCTGCGCTCCCCGGGGTCCCGCGCACCCCTTGGCTGCCCGGGGGGGTGAAGGTGTCTGGCCCCAGCTTTTTGTCACCCCGATGCTAACGACAGCCCCGTCCTGCCACCTCCCCACGGGAGAGGGCCCAGCAATTACGGACCCCCCCCACTATCCCCCAGGCAGGGGCAGAGGGCAGGCGGCGGGGGCTCAGTCCTTAAACCTCCGGCTGGCCTGCATTTTCCTGTAGTAGTTGTCGGCCTCGCTGTCCGTGTGCCCGTCCTTCTCGGCCGGCTTCCTCCGCAGCGTGGACTCGCGGCTGGCCGTGCCCAGCAGCCCCTCGGGGGGGCCGTCCCCCCGCTCCCCGCCGCCCCCCGCCGCCACGTTGATGGTGGCCAGGCTGCCATAGCGCGGCTCATCCTGCTCGATGTCGCTGACGGAGGAGCCGGGGGACACCCCGGCGCTCTTGGCCGGGCGGAAGCCCCGGAAATCCTTGCCCATCTCGCCCAGCTCGTAGGCGTCCGGCCCCTCGGGCCCCTTCTGGGCCGACTTCCACTCCCAGGGCCCGTTGCCGGCGGAGAGGTGCACGACGGGGTGGTGGGGCGCGTGGGCGTCGATGGTGATGATGCTGGAGCTGTCGCGCTCCGAGGGCGAGCGGTACTGCGAGGAGTCGGAGCTGGTGGAGGACGAGGACGTCTCCGAGTGCTTGGGGGTGACGGACACCATGCTCTGCTGCTTGGACATGGCGATGACCTGCATGAGGCGCGGGGGGTTGGCCACCCGCTGCGCCCCCCCCTTCTCCGCCACCATCACCCACTTGGCCCTCACGGCCGCCCCGCCGCCGGCCGCCCCGCCGGCACCCGCCTGGCTCTCCTCGGGGATGTGCACCAGCTGCGAGGCGCCCGGCCGGGGCTGGATGAGCACGCGGGGCCCCATGGCCGCCCGCTCGGCCGGGCGCGCCTGCACCGTGGGGTAGAGGGACGGGGGCACGTCCTCGTCGGCGTCCCCGGCGCCCCGGCCCAGCGCGCCCGCCTCCTCCGCCAGCGTCATGCTGCGGCCCTCCAGAGACTTCTGCTTCCACTCGGTGATGAGCTGCTTGGAGCGGGAGGCGTCCACGGGGACGTGGATGGTCATGTGGCGCCGCGCGGGGTCGTCCATGGAGGGGGTGTTGACGCGGGGCAGGGTGTTGCTGAAGGTCACCATGTTCTCCTTGCCCATGGGGCTGCGGGGGGCCAGCAGGTCCACGTCCACGCTGGCGCGCTTCAGGCTGCCCAGGGAGTTCTTCTCCCGCGGCACCGGCCGCGCCGCCTCCTCCAGCCGCGTCTGCGGGTTCAGCTCGTCGGTGCTCACCGACTTGTTCTGGTGGTACACGGAGTCGTGGCCCCGCTGCGTCAGCGCCCGCAGCGCGTCCTTGGCCGGCGCCAGGGCCGGGGCCCTCTCCGTGGGGGCGCGGAAGTTGCCCACGGCGTGGTACGCCTGCGGCGGGGAGAGCGCGGGGTCAGCGGGGCCGGGGCGCGCGGCATGCAGCCCCCGCGCCCGGCAGCACCCACCAGGTAGGCGGCGATGCCCGAGCCGATCAGGAAGCCCACGTAGACGTCGGCGGGGTGGCTGCGGTACTGCGTGATCTGCGTCAGGCCGCAGATGCCGGCGGCGATGGCGAAGGCGAAGACCAGGATGGGCTTGAGGAGCTTGGTGCTGTCCGAGATGATGGAGTTGAAATACATCTGGGGGGGGAAGAGGACATCAGGACACCGGCACCCGCTGCCTTTCCCCCCGGCCACGCAGGGCTCTGCAGGGCTCAAGCAGCCTTGAAGCGTGTGGCGCGACGCGGTCCCCGGACTCACCGAGACGTAGACGGCCGCGAACGCCGACAGCGTCGCGTGCTGGGACGGGAACGTCTTCCTGCAGCGGGGACAAAGCGGAGCTGCTGGGTGCGGGGGGGGACACGGGGGGGCTGTCCCCTCCCCGGCACGTACCTGGCGGACAGGATGGCGTGCTTGTCCGTGCCCGAGCAGATGTCCTGGGTGATGTAGGGGTTGGCGTCGCAGGGGGTGCCCAGCAGCGTGTAGTTGGGCTTGCAGACGGTCAGGAAGAAGGGCGCGTGGTAGCCGGTGGCCAGCTGGATCACATCTGTCACCAGGGCGGTGGCACAGAGCCCGAACACGTGGACACCTGCGGGAGGCAGAGCGGGGGGGTTGGTGGTGTCACCCCCACCCTGCACAGGATGGGGCCCCAGTGCGCCCCTTCCCAGTCCACACGGGGTATCCAGGGACCCCCTACCAGCCCCGGGGCACCCCAAAACGACCAGGAAGGGTCCGGTGAGGGGGTCTGGGCATTGGGTAGAGCTGTGCATTGCTGGGCCTGGCTGTCCCCACATCCCCCCCAGCCCCAGGACACCCCCGAGGAGGGCACGGCTGCCCGGGCTGCAGCACAACGTACCCACAAACCTTACGGTCCTGCGCAGGAAGGAGTTGAAGTTGCAGCCGCCGGCGTTGATGCTGCCCTCGGCCCCGGCGCGTCCCTTCAGCCTGGACTGCAGGCAGTACACGATGCCCTCCCCGACCATGATCTGGGGGGGAACCGGCAGCTCAGAGGGGCCCCAAAACCTGGCCCAGGCAGGATCCAGCCCCCCCTGACCCCCCTCCCAGCAGCAGGACGGGCCCGGGACGCACCGAGGCAGCGGGGGCGGCGAAGGCCAGGCTGAGCAGCATGAGCAGCGGGATGAGCTCCTCGTTGGTCTCCACGTAGGGCATGGAGAGCGCGCGGTCGTAGCACTGGAAGCCCACCTTGGCCGGCTTGAAGAGGTCGGTCAGCTCCAGGAAGTACAGCGTCACGATGGAGGAGGCCACGATGGGCAGCTGGGGGGGCCGGGGGGGGTCGGTGGGGGCTCCTCGCCCACCCCAGCCTCCAGAGCCCCCCGCTGGGTGCCCGGGGTCCCCAGGGGGCACCGGCCGGGTGCGGGGCCGTGCACCGAGCAGCCCCGAGGATGCGCGGCCCCAACCCGGGTGGGACGGGGGTGGCGAGGCCGCAGCCCCCCCGCGGCAGCCCCCCGCCCACCCCACACCTACCTCCACGAAGTAGAAGCAGGGCAGGAGCGTCATGCTGTCCTTGGGCACCTTGGCCTTGTCCTTCGGGGAGATCATGGTGCTGGGGCGGGCGGGGGTCCCTGCCATGGGGCAGCCGGCGTCACCCCGGCGCTCAGCCCCACGGGGGGGCCCCCACTGCACGGGGGTCGCGCTGCCCCCCCCCCACCTCCTCCCAGCCTCCGGGGGGGCTGTGACAACAGGTGGGGCGGAGGCTCGGCTGTCGCGACAGACCCCTCTGCCGCGACATGCGCCGCTGCGCTGGGCGTGGGGAGGGGGCGTGCCGCCCGCAGAGCCCGGCCGGGGAGGGGGGGGACGGGGGCGCCCCCCCCGGCCCCCCGAAACTTCTGACAAGTCCTGGGTGCAAAAAGGGGGGGGGGGGCACGAGGGGGGTGGAGCAATGGGGGGCTGTAAGGGAGGGGGCAATAATGGGGGGGGGGAGAACGAGAGGGGGGATAACGGGGGGGTGATAACGGGGGGTAGTACCGGGGGGGGGCAGTACCGGGGGGGCAGTACCGGGGGGGGCAGTACCGGGGCCGAGCGCGCCGCAGCAGCGGGCGGGGGCTCGGGGGGGGCCGTGTCGGGGCGGGGGCCCGTCCCTTTGTGCCTCCGCCGCCGCCCGCGCCCCCCACTCACCTCCGCTGCAGCCGCCCCTGGGGGGGCGAATCCGGGCCGGGGGGGGCCGGGGGGGGCCGGGCGGGGCGGGGGCGTCCGCGGGGCTCCCGCTGCAGCGGGGATGCTCTGCCTCGGCCGAGCGCGGCGAGCGGCTGCTTCCTCCCCTCCTCCTCCTCCTCCTCCTCCTCCTCCTCCTCCGCCGCCGCCTCCTCCCCGCCGCCCCCCGCCGCCCCCCGCCCCGCCCCGCCGCTCCCGGCCCCTCTCGGGGCTTTGGGCGGCCGCGGGAGCCCGGGGGGGGCCGGGGAAGGGGAGCGGGGGGGGGTCGGGTGCGAGACAAAGGGACCGGGGGGGGGGCGCGGCACCGAGCGGGGGCGGCTCCCCCGTGCTGCTGTGTGCCCCCCCCCGCTGCTGTGCGCCCCCCCCCGCTGCTGTGTGCCCCCCCCAAGGGCTTTGCTCCTGGCCCTGGGGGGCCAGGGCCATGCCAAGACCCCATCTCCAGCCCCTTTCCCACCCCCCCCAGCCCCTTGCCCCCTGGTGCAGCCCCCAGCTGCTGGGCCTCGTGTGGCCGCACCGCCCCCCCCTCACCCCTGAGCTCGGCTCAGCCGCTGGTCAAAGCCTCAAATCCCCCCAAATTCAGGGCTGGGGAACCAGGGTGCAGCTCCCCTTGCCCCCCCCCGTGGGCTTCCAGCCCCTCTGGAGGAGGACCGAGCCCCCCCCGTGCCCCCCACCCGCAGTGGATCCCGGCCCCGTGCCCCTCGCACACCCCGGGGTGCAGCCCTGGAGCCCGCTCAGGCCCTGGGGGTCACCGCAGCGCTGCCCCCGTCCCATTTTCGGCCCTAAGTGGGCAGAAATCTCCCGGCGCATTTAACGTTTAAATCCCGAGCGGCTGAAAGCTGCGGCTAAGCCGCTCTCCCTGCAGCTCCACGGGCCCAAAGCGCAGAAATCCGCCCCCCCCCAGCAAACCCGGAGCCCCCCCACCACACTGAGCCCCCCGGCACCCTCCTCCTGCAGGGGTCTGAGCCCCATGGCCACGAGCTCCCCAAAACCCGGGGGCTGAAGGCGAGGCCGCAGCTGCCCCACGCAGGGACCCGCTCACCCCGCGTGCCCCCGTCCCACACCCCATCTGTAAGGCCGGGGGGGTGCCAGCAGCTGTCCCCCCCCCCTCCCCCCCCATGCCGGTGCCTGTCCTGCTGAGCCCCGCGTGGCCGCGGTGACCCCGGGAGCGTTTGGGCGGCTTTGGTGCAGCCGCAGCCCGGGACGTTGGCACGGCAGCCCGAAATCAAACCCAGCGATTTTTGAGCTGTAAAAACAGCAGGCACATAAAAAAATAAAATCAAAATAAAACTTGTGTGTGAGAAGCAGCTCCGTGGGCTGCAGCCGAGGCTTCCTTCCTCGCCGCTGATGGAAATCCCAGATCCCGGCCCCGCGGGGGGCGCGCAGCCAGCCTGGGGCAGCCCGCGGGCAGCGCGTTGGGCATGGCTGGACCAGGAGGCGGCTGGGCTGGGAACGAGCCCCGTGCGATGCCAGCGCCTCGCCCCCCCTGCACCTCGTCCCCCCCAGCCCCTCTGTGCAGCCGGCCCCGAGCCCCCCGTCCTGCCCCTGGCCCCATCCTGCACCCCAGGGGCTGGGGTTTTGCCGAGGTCCTGGTGTTGCCTGGGCAGGAGCTGGGGGTCTGCAGGTGGGGGGGGGCTCAGGGCAAGAAAAACAGCCCCAGGTGTGGGGTTGGGTCCTGCCTCTTGCCTGGGGACCCCAAGCCAGCTGCTGGTGACCCCAGTCCCACTGTCCTGGGGGTATTTGGGGCCATGGAGCAGGACGGCTCCGCTCGGCTGCGTGGCCCCCGAGCACCCCCCGGCACAGCAACCAGTGACCCCCGTGCTGGGGGCCAACGATGCAAAAATCCCCTCCCGCCCGTGCCAGATCCAACAGCTGGGGAAGGCTGCTTCCTCCCAGCGTTGTTTGTGCTGAGAACTCTTGACCTGTTTTATAACCTGAATGTTTAGACACTCTCGATATTTTCCTCACGCTGCGGAAACCCCCTCCTTTTCCCCTTCCTTCCCCCCCTCTCCGCGGCCCCAAACTGGACATAAAAGCGAGTCCCAGCCCTGCCGAGCCCCACGGCCGGGTCGGAGGCTCCCCACTGCAGCCATGGGGCCGTGTCCTGCTCCCGTCCTCGTCCTCGCTCTCTTCCTGCAGCTGGGGGCCGTGGTGAATGGTGAGTGCCCCCCTCTGCACCCCAATACTGGGACGGGGATGGACTGGGGCATCCCCGGGAGGGGGCCAGGGACAAACTGGGGCATCCCCAGGGCGGTTCTGGGCTCTGCTGGTGGTTTTGTGTCAGCAGCCCCGGGTGGGGGGGACACGGCTGGGGGCCCTGCAGTGCTGTGCCCCCCAACTCATTCTGCTTCTCTCCCGCCCGCCGCAGCGCAGCCCCGGGGACGGATCCTGGGGGGCTACGAGGCCAGGCCCCACCTGCGGCCGTACATGGCCTCGCTGCAGCTGGACGGGCAGCACGTCTGCGGGGGCTTCCTCATCGCCGAGCAGTGGGTGCTGAGCGCCGCGCACTGCACCGAGGGGACGTGAGTGCCGGGGGGGCAGTGCCAGGGTGCCCACGGTGGCGGCCGGGCAGGGGCTGCGGGACCCCGGGGGGGCTGCCAGCTCCCTGGGGGGGGGTCTCTCTGTGAGCCCGCGGCCCCCCCCGTGCCGTGCCCCACCGCAGTGGTGCCGAGCCCCCCACCCTGCCCCCCCTGCAGGAACGGGAAGCTCTTCCAGGTCCTGCTGGGAGCCCACTCGCTGACCGAGCCGGAGCCCCACAAGCGCCTGTACCGGGTGCGCGCGCAGATCGCCCACCCCGGCAGCAACATCCACAACAACAGGGACGACCTCCTGCTGCTCCAGGTGCGTGGGGTGCCCCCTCCCCACCGCCCTCAGCACCCCAACCGCGCTCACCCCGCGGGGTCACTGCCGGTGCCGGGAGGAATCCCTCGAGGCCGGGCTGACCGCAGCGCTCGGTCCCCCTCTGTCCCCCTCCCAGCCCGTGGGACCATCCCCGCTCCCCCTGCCATGGATTTTTGGGCCGTTTCCCAGTGATTCTGGGACGACGTGTCTCCGACCTCCGGCCGCATGCTGGGGGCTGCAGGCGGGGAGGCAGCGCTGGGAGCTCGGGGAGGCCGGCGCGACGCCGGGGCCGTGTCCCGCTGAGCCCGGTCCCTTCCTTTGCTTGGTGGCAGCTGGAGGAGAAAGCGGAGCTGAACGCACACGTGAAGGTGCTGCCATTCCAGCGGGAGGACAGGGACGTGGAGGCCGACACGCTGTGCGAGGCCGCGGGCTGGGGCACCGTCACCCACAGCGGGCGGCGGCCGGACAAGCTGCAGCAGGTGGAGCGGCCGGTGATCAGCCGCGAGCTCTGCAACCACCGCACCCGCCACGACCAAACCATCACCGAGAAGATGATGTGCACCGACTCCCGCAAGAAGGACACCTGCAAGGTACCGGCCTGCTCAGCCTCCTGTCCCCGACCCAGGGCCAGTGGGCTGGGGCTGACGACCCCCGTGGGGGCCTGGGTGGGAACAGCTCCGGCTGGGGGGGAGGATGTGGGGCAGGACAGGGCCGTGGGGCAGGACGGGGCCGTGGGGCAGGACGGGGCCGTGGGGCAGGACGGGGCTGCAGCCCCAGGGAGGGAGCGAGGTGGGGAGCAGGGGGGAGCAGCAGCAGTGCCCCCCCCCGGCACTGAGCCCCTGTCCTGCAGGGAGACTCCGGGGGCCCCCTGGTCTGCAACGGCGTGGCCGAAGGGGTGGTGACGGCCGGCTCCCGGGTCTGCGGCAACTACAAGAAGCCCGCCATCTACACCCGCATCGCCCCGTACGCCACCTGGATCGACGGCGTCATGGCCTCAGCGGCCGGGGACAAGGCCGGGGACGAGGCCGGGGACGAGGCCGCTCGCTGAGCCGGGCTCACGGAGGGACCCGGCTCCACGCCACGGCTTGCTGCTGCCGGCCCGGCCCTCGCTGCTGCGCCGCTGGGCGCTGGGCTCCCCAAGCACCCCCGCACCGCCAGGCCGGGAGGGGGCACAAAATGGGGCAGGGGGTCCCCAGCCTCCTGCTCGTGAGGCTCAGGGGCTGGCCGGGGGCTGGGCGATGCCCGGGGAGGGGGGGGGTGCCCAGGCCGCAGGCTTTGCTGAACGCGCCCGTACCGCCCACCGCGACCCTCTGCAATAAAGCAATCACTGCTCCTGCCGCCAAGCTGCTGGGGCCGAGCGGGGCTGGGGGGGGGGAACAGTGTGAGAGCACCGTGTGGGGGGTGCACACACAGCTGGGGGGTGGGTGCTGAGCCCCCGGGGCACCCCCACCCTCCCCATCGCTGCTCCGTGCCATCTCTGTCCTCGCCTCCTCGGTCACACGTGTGTGAATCCCGTCCCCCCCCCCCGCAGTGTGCTGAGCCCCCCCGTGCCCTCCCACCACTGCTCACCCCCGTTGGGCTCTCCTGGAGGGGCACACGGACCCCCGAGCCCCAGCACCTCTCCTGGCCCCGCTCCCATCACCGCACTCCGTGGTCGAGTGCCCTGAGCCCAGTGCCCTGGGTGGGAGCGCGGGGGCCGCATCCTGCGGCACGGTGAGGTCCGGAGCTGGGACCAGCCCCGGGTTCCTTGTGTGAGCATCCAGTAAGGCCCAGGAGCTGCGTGCGGTGCTGCTGGCACGCTCAGGACCCCGGTCCTTGGCCCCAGACCCAGCCACGGGGCCCCAGGGCTGGCACAGAGCCCCGACATAGTCCTGGGACCAGCAGAGCCCAGCTGGGACCAGCAGCATCCCGCTGGCAGCGGGATCACGGCAGGGCTGGGAGCAGAGCAGAGCTGCTCACCCTGCCCTAACGCATCCATCGGGGGAAGGAGAGCATCCTGCCCCGCCAGCACAGGGCGCGAGGCAGAGGAGCCCACCCATCGCTCCCTCCACGTGCCACCGCACGTTAAATAACCCCAAACCTGCTCTGAGAAACAGGAAACGAGCGAGGGCCCAGGCTGATTAGTTTTACTTACAGGGGAAAGGAGCCTTAACAAGGAGTTGGAGCTTCCTAATTAGCCTTTTGATTTTCCTTAATTACCAGAAGAATAGCAAGGCAGAGCGTCTCCACACAGCAATGCATTAAATGGAGCTGAGAGCCAAGCTCTTTGCCATCAGCTCGATTTTTCACTAATAAATGAAAACCCATTCCCAGAGGGATATAAATATATTAAAAAAATGGCTCATTCTTTCCCTCAAGTGGTCTCCGAGGACAGCCCGAAGTTTTCTGGCTGGGTGGGAATTCGGCCAAGCCACAGATCAGCTCCAAGCCTCCTCGCTGTGCTTTGTCCAAGCACTCAGATTTTTGCCCGGTTCAGTGAAGTTGCTGAGCACCCCCAGCGTGGTTTGATGTCAGCAGGACAGGGCAGGTCCCCGCAGATGTAACATCAGCTCTGTGAGTTTGGCATTTTCTACCAACGGCAGCACCCAACAAAAGGGTGGTTGAGCACAATCCACCGAGGCAGAGGTGTGATATGAGTCACGTCTGACCTTGAGCACAGGACGGAGCTGTTCTAGGAAAGCTCTTCCTCAAACATGCTGGAAGCGTCCGGCTTTGCCCAAAGCTGCAGACTTACAACAATCTTAATTACCTCATGTTTTCTCCCCTTGTGTCCATAATAACCTCACAGAAGGCCGAAAACATTAATTTCCCATCCAATTCTGCAAGTGGTTGCAGCTCCTTGCCTAATAGGGATGCAATGAACAGCTCTCCTGCTTCTCCTCTGTTCATACATAAACAGCCCTGGACACAGGCCGCACAAAAAGTCACATGAAAGTGCTGAAGTTTTGAAAACAAACCAAACAGCCCGTACAAAATTTGGGGAACCTTTATTTACAAAAGAGCTGCTGGCTCTCAGTGAGAGCCAAGGGGAGGGGTGTGCTCCAGGCAGCGATGCTCACATCCCTTCCTCCAGAGGGGGAAGAAATGGCTCCGTTAATTACAACAGGATGCACAGTGAAGCTTCCCCTCAAGGAGCAAGTTCACTCAAAGGATGGAGAAGTGCAAGGAAAGAGGAATGGAGGAGCCCGTGCCCCATTCCCCAAGGTGCCGGGTGTTTGTTTCCCTTTCACTGGGGATTGTTTACCCCCAGCTACCACCCACCACCACTGTGCGAGGGCTGAACCCAGAGCTGGGCCGTTCCTTGTGCTAGCGCAGAGCCCCAGGAAGGCAGCAGGATTCTCTCCTCCAGCTGACGCTGCCTTTGGGATTCCCTTCTAGCCAGTCTCTGTAAAAAAACTCCTTTTCTTCCTCCCCTCTATTTTTTAAGGACAAAAAGGGGTGAAGCACAAAAATCAATGCAAGAAAAACCCAGCAGCACTGCTGGACAGCCCTTGGCACTGCCTGGCAGGCAGCACCAGGACAGAGCTTTCAGAGCTCAGAAGAGCTGCTGCTCCTTGGTCCCAAACACCGTCAGGGGAGGAAGCTCCGCGCTCGTCCACGCGGCACCCCTTGTTCTCTCCGTGCCCCCCAGAACGCGCTCTCAGGAATAGCTGAGAGGCATCCTCCTCCACAGCCCCCCACACAAGCAGTTCTTGATCCAGCGCTGCTCCCACTGCTTCACCGCCGTGACTTTGTTGGGCGATTTCAGCATGGTAACACAGCCACACCTGGAAGGAAGCAGAGAGGGGCGACTCAGCACAGCAGCCACAGGGGCCCAGGAAACAAGCCAGCAGTGCTGGAGCTTCTGTGCAGATCACAGGGGGATCAAGGAATCTGAGGAGGAAACGAGCTTTTGTCATTTGCAGGTGATGTTTGTGAGCACTGAAAACCAGCTGAAACCATGTGAGCAATTATCTTAAATGAAGAGAGGTTATCTGGGAACAGAAGGCTGTCTTCAAGACAACAGCCCCCAGCTGCTATTTATACATGAAACAGCAGACATTCATCTTATAAAAATGATCTGCTACAGAGACTTTCTATTAAAACCAATAATTAGAGCTAATTCAATCACATGATCAGATGGATGTTTGCTCCCTGCACCATTATTTCAAAATTCAGGCTCTTTTGTGAGAGTGGATGAAGGGACAGCACAAAAGGACTTTAAATACAAACCTAGCTTGAAAAACTTTCCCCAAATGGTACCATGGATACTGTGAGTATTCCCTCTCACCACCTCCTCTCCAAGAACAGACCTGCAGGCTTAGCTTGGGATCTCTCATCACTAATATAGATTCAGATCTCTGTTTACTCACGTAATCTGACTGCTCTCCTATTTTTCTTCCTGTTAAAGCAGTATTGTATTTATTCCATGCTGCCATATCCAGCCCTCAGATGAAAAGCAGTTCAATCATGGGCAGTGAAGAATGTAGTTAGTTCTCAAAGAGCTGGGGTTACTTTGCAGGGCAAAGCAATAAGATTTTTAATTTAACAGCCACGCTGCAATGATAGCAGCAGCTATCCTGAGCCAGTCACACTGCTCTTCAATAAGCATTTTAAGGATCTTGGTCTTCCAGATTAGGGATATCTTAAACGTAACCACAAGTGCTTTCTTTCAATGCAAGCTGTAGTGCCGTAAATGAAAAGCCTTATTTTAGACGAAGCATTTCCTCCTGCAGGCGTAATTCACATGAAATGTTACTGGGATACCAGTTGGGATGGTAAACAGAGACTACAGGAGCTTTTGAATGACAAAAAGAACAGCTTGAGTTTCTGCCAAGACCTCCTCTGCATCTAAGGGATTATGTTTGCATCGCTTACCTGGTACATGACTTGCATTCTTCTGTGGGGTATGCTCCTAAATGGAGCCTTCTCAGATGATCAATTTTGGGCTGTCCAGGTGCCCTGGATAGGAAAAAGAACGGCAACTTTTCTAGAATATTGTCTCAAAAAGCTGTTTCCAGGACAGCGAGCTGCATTTCGATGGGGCCCAGGCTTTGACTACCTAGTCCGTAAAGTGCCACTGGATTCAAGGGCATGCTTGCACAGATCTAATCGTGAACTAGCATTTCACCCCCTCCTTTTGCCACCTCTTTTCATACTTTAAATTACTAATCAGCTGCAAGTTGAGAAAGGAATTCAGGCACAGAGGACGTACTCTCTTGGCTCACGTCATAACAGATGCCCCAGATCCACTGACCTCTCAGAGATGGAAAGAGAGAGATTTGTTTCAGATCTCTGTACCTTACAAAGGCATCAAACTGGGAAGAGACAGTGTGACCAACGAGCCCAGGAGCTTTTCCAAACTGCAGCCGGACAAGCTGTTTGTTCTGCAGCTTGCTGATAATGCCATCGTTGATAGGCAACCAGTCAATATTGGGAATGAGCAACTGGCTGGGCAGGAGGCAGCATTCATCTATCAGGGTATCATCTGGCTCTGTTATGTGATTTTCCTCACGACCTGCATGGAAAATAAGGCAGAGAGTGAAAGAGAACCAGCGTGATCTTTAAATTTCTCATTTACAGATCGAGAGAACTCCGTGCAGCTTCCTCCACCATCCGCCAACACAGCACAGAAAACAATAAACTTGGCAGCTGTGCTCGCCCTTTCTAAACACTACAGGCCCACTCAGAAGTCACTCCCCACAATTAATTCTATCACGCACAATCCACATTAAGGAAGAGTCTTTTGTTCGGGGAAACCGGCAAACACTTACAGCACAGCCAGAGTTTTGTTAGAAGCCTGAAGAGGAGGGACATGCTGTCCTGGGTGTCGGAGGTTGCTGTGTAGACAGGGAGGCAGCTTGGCTTTAACAGCCCCCAGATACGGATCACCACCATCAGCTCCCTGAACATGCCCAAGGACGCTCCGTCGCGCAGAAAGCTGTGGCCCGGCCGCACGGGAGAGCCCTGCAGAGGGGAAAAACAGCTGAGACTGGGACTCGGGCACAGACTGACAGAAACACTGTTCCCTTCCCTTTTTTCAACAGCAGACACCCGCAGAACTCGTGGCCAGAGGATGCTGCGGAGGTTCCTAAGACCGCCTGTCCTCAGGCCCGCAGGCTCTCACCTGGTTAGGCAGGCTGGCCAGCAGGTAGAGCACAAAGTCTCCCACCCACTGAATGAGCTGCTGCAGGGACTGCAACGTGGTCATCTCCAGGACAAACTCCTCTGTCTTCAGGTTGATCATCACCTTGTCAATGTCTGAAACAGAAGCAGGACATCTGGCTCAGGAAGAAGATGGATCCAAGCTTCACCTCCTGTCCGTGTGGTGTGGGAAGAGGTCCCACCCTCCCCTTCCT